AAATGGTATTGGTAATTATGTAGGCCCCTACATTATTGATATTGAACTTCCGAGAGTCTTCAGCACAAGTCCATCTCGATCCTTTCACTCCCGACCGCCGTGTCGGGGATGGAGACTGCTCTGTCGGTCGGGTCCACCACCGCCTTCTCCTTCCGCCACTCTCCTGCACGGCGCGTCGACGGCTTCTTGTTGTGCCCTTTGCTTTGGATGCAGGGAGGGCTGGAGAAGACGGCGACGGGCAGGTCCGGCTCAAAGACGATCTTCAACACCTCGCACTCCATCTCCGTGAGATGCACCGCGGTGAGCTCTGCAGCTTCGCCCGAGTCGAGGATCACCGAGTCGCCCTTCTTTAGCTGACCCGCTGGGAGGTAGAGAGTCTTGTCGAGCTCGCCCCTTGCGTCTGGGACTCGCACGGGATGGTCCGGGGTCACGCGCAGCGTCGCACCGCCCGCGTGCAAGTCGACGAAGTGGGTGGCGGTGAAGGTCTCCGGGCGCTCAGCCACCTTGAGGATGGTACCATCGGCAGCAACCACCTGCGAGACTTCCGTCAAGTCCTTGCCCATAAGGTAGTAGTCCGCGTCACACTTGAAGATGGAATCGGACATGAAGCAGCCGAGCTGCTCAGCAAGATCCGGCTCCTGGCCACAGGACGTTTCATCGAGGGTGGGGCCCACCAAGTCCCGGGCTTCCTGCTGCTGGAGCTCCAGCTCACGAATGCGCTGCTTGTGCATGTCCTTAAGCTCTTCCCGCAAGACTTGCATCCGACTGAGCATCGCCGACCTCTCCGCCGCTGCTTTGGCCGAGGTTTCCTTGAGCTGCTGTCGGAGCTGCTCGCACCGTTCCTGCAGCTCGCGGCTCCCGGCCTCCGCCACAGCCAGACGATTTCTGAGCTCTTGGCCCTCCTCCTGCGACTTTTGGAGCTCCGCTTCGAGGCGACGGCGCTCGGTGGTCTCCTCCTCGAGCTTCTGCCGCTTCCGCGCCGTCTCCGGGCTCTCCGCCTCCACGAGCCGCTCCGCGAGCTCCCGGCAGTGGTCGCGGGCAGGGGAAACCTGCAGATACCAAGCCGCTGAGCCGCACGGCGCTCCTCGCAGCAGCCCGGCCTCGGAGAAGCGCCAGTGGCCCCACCCGTACTTGCCGTACTCGGCCGCGCCGTGCCGGAGCAGCGCCTCGAAGAGCTGCTCCTGCCTCGTCTCCTTACCTGCAAGCTCTTTTGCGTAGAGCTCCCGGCACCGCTGGAGCCAGGCCTCCGCCTCCGCCGGCTGCGCGGCCCACAACTCCACCAGCCGCCGGCTCACCGCCTCGCGAGCTCGGTCCGAAGGAGCATGACCTTCCTTCCAAAAAGCCAAGTCGAGGAAGGCGTCGATGACAGTCGTGAGGCGCCAGCTGGCCGGGACTTCGGTCAGGTCTTTGAGAAGTTTTGCTTCTGGCTGCTGGGGCATGGCGGCGCGCCTCGGAAACTTGGCACAGCAAAGGGGACCTCGGAGTCGTCTTTCTGAGCCGCTAGATGGGCACTCCAATCAGCCCACAACCTCTTCCGAGGCGAGGCAATGCGAACTTTCATTCACATGTGGGTGTCCTCACTCCGCTCACGCTGGGAACGATTTCCTCTTTGAATGGGTTTAGGGCTTGGGGCTTATGGCCTTAAAGTTCGAACTGGTTCGGGGTTTAGGGTTTCAGGGTCTTACAATCCTGGAGCCCTTTACCTCAAAGGCCCAGTGAGCCTCGGCATCCAGGGCAGCGCGCTCTTGTGTCTTCAATCGCTGGATCTTCTTCTTCAGCTCGGGGTCGACGTTCCTTGAGGGCGCGTGCATATGATAGATCAACGACTACATGGGTACATATGTAGATGTATATGTCCAGAAAAACATACACATGCGTACGTGTATATACGTATGTATATATATATATATACATACATGTGTTATACATGGAAAATCTCTATTTGTATGTATACGCACACATAAGTCTACTTAGTATGTAAATATATGTGCACGTATATCTGCACATGTAAACTTAGATTTGCGTATATTTCTACTCTGTGTATATTGTAGGTGCAAACATATACGCACGAATGTGTGTGCATATCTGTAACTTTGCGTATTAACTATTATGTAATGTTTTAATGGAGGCCGGGACACTTGTCTTGGAGGAGGCGCGGAATGCTGTCGGCCTCACACACGCAAGGTCTCAACTCAAACTTGCGCTTCAGTTGCTCCCGACTCAGAACCCCTCAAAACTCGAGAAAGCCAAACCGTGGCTGCAAGAGGGGTTTAGGGTTTAGGGTGCCAGACTATCTGCAAAGCCCAAACCGTTAAGCCTCAAACCTACAGTGGCATGCTGACGGCCTTGTGCGTTTTTGTGCAGCGGTCTAGCAGGCGATCGACTTCCTGTCGGATCTCCACGATTCGGGCCTGCAATGTACGAAAATTCGCGGTTTGGGGGGGGGGGGGGGGGGG